GTGGCATTATACATTAGGATGCACCTAAACAGTACACACACACAACCAGAACATTGAGAAAAAACCTATAAATAGTTGTAGATTTTAAACCATGTTTTGTTATACTAAGTGGTCAGAGATATCATTATGTTATGTCATATCAAGCTCATCGACGAAAAAATTGGGATTGGCTAGAAGTAACTATGCATTTCTTTTCAATAGAAAGATGGCATCAAATTCCCAGAAGAAGAGGACTACACTAGAGCCTGGGGCAGACCCAAGGTTTTCAAAACCGGACAAACCGGTCCAGTCCGGTTAGCAAAACCAGTCCGGTTTTCCGCTAAAACCGAAACTGTGTACTGTGGTTCCGGTTTACTGGACTGGTTTTTCAGGTAGCGGGTTTTCCGGTTTTTTGGGGATTGCAAACCCTGGGCAGACCTCCCACCAATTGCACAAGGCTCAGGTACCTGGAAAAATGCTTGGAAGACCAAATCTACCTGGCTCTCAAAAATGGGTTTCAACTACTTACATTGAACGACATCTGCATGCAGGATGTATCCACTATTTTTTTTATAGAAAAATGACGCTGACTAGCTAATTTATGTTTGAATCGAGGAAAACTATATAGACATGGACATAAGGGGGGAGAAAATACCATCTAGAAATTTTGCCACCATAAAAATCAATAAATTGGCATATCAAGGAAAAGCGGGCCTCCTCTGAAGATAAAGAGAAAAGAAACTCGGTTACATCTTCAAACAAGATTACTCTGGAAAGATGATCATCCTCTTCTCCGGATGGAACATCACCAGAGCGGAGTGATTCTATTCCTACAAACATATCAAGTGTTAACACTAAGTCAATTAAACAAATAACCATGCCGAATATCTAAATGAAAACAAACTCAATGTACCAGATTTTTCACGAAGAGGCATCCATTGTTCATTGTCCCTTGATAACTCCATCAAGGACCATCTATTCCATGTTTTTGCATCTTTCACTTCACTGTCTGACTCTGCACTTACATCAATACCCAGCTTTTTCAGCAAGGATTCAACATCATCTTGTGCAGATGTATCCTCAGCATCTAGGTCTTCTGCATCATTTCCATCAGTTGATGGTCCTAGTGTTTTGTTGGATGAATCGTTCGTGTCACTGCTTCTTAGAGAAGGATCAAACCAACCACTCCAGCCTCCTACTTCAGGCTCTTGTGAACTTTCTTGCATGGCCATGTTTTGTCTACTCTCCTCATCTTTTGCTAACCATGCAGACCATCCAAGAGCACCATCTTCCCCTACTCTAGCACCAGCACTGTTCCAGAAGTGCTCAAAGAGCCTTTGCTTACTGCTTGTGGTCAGAGACAGGGGAGGGGAGAATAAGCTAAACTCTATTTGAGCCTGAAATAGCCCAGTTGCTAATTCTCGATGCCCTGTCTGCCACTCAAATCGGCACAGATTCACAAATATATCCACTAAACCAATTTCAAGCTGAGCTAGGGAAGGATATGATGCCTTGGGATCAGCATTTTGATTGTCCTGTATTAAAAAAAAAAAGAGAGAGAAGACATTAATGGCATTTTCAAGGCATGCCAGAAGCAGATAAGTTTAACTATTTACAAGGAAACACTGAAGCTAAACCTGCCTACATAGCTTGGTGCATGCTGCAGATAGAGCCTGTACAGCATATACATAAGACTTCCGTATTTCTGGAACTTTGAATCTGGAGAATTCCCCTTGGCACAGGAGTAGATACTCCTTCCACAACTTACAACTATCTGGGTGTTTTGTAAGTATTTGCTCCCATTTCCCCAAGAGGCTCTCAGTGCTATCCCTCTCACCATATGACTTCAAAAGGTAAAGCAACAATTCCTCGTTACCCGGATTAAGATCCACCGCATTCTCAAGTATGCTTATTTTCCTTTCGGTAGTTTGCAAACGTGCAGCCTTTTGTGGCTGCGTACTGGCAACTTTGTCCTGCAATACAACAGTAGTGAATATAGTGATGTTTGTAAATGAAAAATATTTATTAATACGAAAGCTAAAACAATAACTAACAACTAACAACACAGCACTAGTACATAATACGAATAAGTGGAATAACGTGATGAGAGAAATTTCATCCACAAAACAATAGAAATTCCTGATACCTGAAATTGTGCAAAAGCCAACCAAACTTTTTCATCGTGAGGATTTTCTCGAGACATCTTATTGAATTCCTTCGTCCTTCGAAGTATTTCATCTTCCCAGGATTCCTCAAGCTCATGTTCCACGTTTGTATTTTTCACAGGGAGTGATACTGTATCTAAGGGGAGAAAATCTTCAGTGGGCATTGAAAAGGCATCGCTTTTAAGTACTTTCAGGTGTTTGAAACCCTTATTTCTTTCAAAAACTGCATATTTTGCTGAGTAGTAGCGACCACCAGCTCTGACTTTGCTATCCAGTCCATCTAAGTCTGAGTCTAGATCCATATGTGATGAACCAAGCCCCCAGTTATAAAATCGAAACCGGTTGAAATCACGTGCCCCGAGCATGCTCTGAGGTTTGTAGCGTGCAACATCCATTCTGCAATTTTCTTGAGGTGTTAAAATTTAGTAGCAAAACAAAATATACTAACCCAATAAATTCAAATAAACAGAAATGAAGACAGGACTGGGATTTTAAGATTTATTAAGGCAGATAAGTTCAAGTAAACAGAAATGGAGACTGGTTTAGAGTATTTAGTACTCCCTCCATTCTTTTTTTTATGACGTTTCAGACAAGCTTTTTAGTTCATTTGTAGTTCATTCTGGTTGTCTGAAACGACAACAAAAAAAGAATGGAGGGAGTATTTATTAACATAGATAAGTCTCTCAGCCAGGCAGAACAATGGTAAAGATGAAAATGAGAAGACTATTGAAGCAGTGCCATTCCTACTAATATGAATAAACTGAACTTTTCAACTAGCAGCCAGTCAACATGCTGTTGACCATGCTACAGGAATCAAATCATTTAACTACCAAGTTAAATTGACAATCATGTTGTACATTTGCCCTCATTGGTCCTACCATAACAAAATGATACAGCATATTTTTAACCTCGATAAGGAGGGTCCACTGTTGGGTTAACTTGGAGAAAGTAACCCAGTTTGGCGGTAAAAAAAAGGGGGTTGTTATGGCAAACTGTATAAGGGAAATGTAAAACAGGTAACCAGATGAAAGTTTGTTCCATCATATGGGGCAATTCCTCCATATAAACAACCAAGGTGCCAGAATCTTGGAATCTTAGTATTTTCTCGCATCTACAGAAGACACAAATAGCTAACTTATATAATAGTATTACAGTTCATCCAACCAAGCATCTAACCCTGGAGGAGACTAACATGTTAAAGCTACAAGTTACATACTGGATATAATGGGGAATGCTTCACAGTTTCAAGTACCAATAACTATGCCTATGAATTTCAGACAGATTGATCAGCAAAGGCCTCAGGGAGGGCATTTGAAAAATAATAAGATTGAAGTAGCTTTTACACCTACAAGTCAAACATGATGCTGAAAACTTGGGTATCAGTATTCAAATTAGAAAAATACACAAGCTAAATGGTACACATAAATAAGCAAACCATTGGCACTAGAGAACGTCTTAAATCAGGTTCTTAAACATAGGTGTTAGAGTTAAGCACTAAATGTTAGCTACGTCACAAACAATCAGCTCCGTATGCTGCATCAAAACAGAATTTCATAAGCAAGGATCTGACCTGTAGAGGGATCCAAAAGCCAGGTTATCATGATCACCCTTGGCGTCGACGTAGTAATCCTTGACCGGCTTGGTGTCCGACCCTGCCCAGGCACGAATCCCAGGCTTCCGCGAGGCCGCAGCCCCATCGAACCGCTCCTTCTCTCGCTTCCGCTTCCTCCTCCCCCTTTCCTTCTTCCGCGACCCTCTATCCTCGTCGGAGGAAGACGGCGATGATGGCACTAGCTCGTACTTCGCAGGTGCGGGCTGCGGCACCGTGTCCTCGTCAGAAGAAGGGCTCAGCGGCAGCGGAAGGGACGAAGAGGTGGCGGCCGGGATGTTCAGGGAGGAGGCATCGAATGAGAAGCTAGGGTTTGAGAGCCACTGGGAGTCGGCGGTGGGAGCGGAAGTGGCCGCGGCGAGGGGGAAGAGAGGGAATAGAGAGGACGAATTCGTACGAGGATTTGTCTCGTCTCCGTCGACGGCGGCTGGGACGGTGGTGTTCGTGGTGGTCGACGGCGAAGTCTCCGGCGGGAGCTCCATGGCGGGTGCCCGTCGTCACAGGGACTCGAGCGAAGGAAGGTTCTGGCTACTGACGAGTGGGGCCCGCGTTCGTTTAAGCGCGTCGATTACACAAAGCTACTGGGTTCTGATGTATTGGTCCAGATTAGAGAGATATTGGGCTAGTGATGGGCTACTGGTCAGGAGTGCCCATTAATAAACCTGGGCTGCATCCGGCATGGTGATTGCGGGCTTTGGAACGTGCGGTGCTGCTAAGCCCATCAAGATAAGCTGGGAATCGAGAAGGTGAGAAACACTGAAGTTGCGGTTATCGTGATAATCAGAAAAGAAATAGGTAGAGATGTTAGTGTCCCTATCTCTGTGGGTGCAACGTAATAAGTTTTTCTCAAATCTCTGTTCAATTTGTCTTGATTTGATGTTAAAGTGTTTCAGAGTATTCACTCATCTCAAATTTGTTTTTGATCATTAGTAAAGCTTGCCCTAGTGTCAAGGGAAAGATGCTGCCTCTACTCCTCTGCCGGCTCCCTTCGACACCGCGTGCGCTGCATTTAGTCATGGCCAATAGACGGCCCGGGCCGACACGATACAGACCTGAAAAGGCACGGTCCGAATCTATTTCGGGCCGGCACGGCACGCATTACATTTCGGGTCGTGCCGTGCCAGCCCACGTGCCTAACCTTCGGCTCGTGGCCCCGGCACGAAATGGCCTTTTCGTGTTTAATCGTGTCGTGCCGGTCTCCTAGCCCGCAAGCACGGCGGAAAACCTTAAAAATCAGAACAAAAAAATGATAAAATGGAGACTTGAACCCTCGACCTATAGCTTAGTAAGCAAGAGACTTACCACTAGACTACTTAATGCTTACTCTCTCTGTCCCAAAATAGATGTCGTTGTTGACTTTTTTGACCGCTCGTCTTATTCAATTTTTTTGCAAATTTTATTTATTTATTTACAATTTGTTTTATCATTGAATATATTTTAATCATGACATATTTATTTTTATATTTAAATAATTTTTTGAATAAAACGAAGGGTCAAACATGATGTCCGGCGACACCTATTTTGTGACGGAGGGAGTATTGTTCTATATGAAACATAAATTATATTTAATATCATGTCGTGTCGTGCCGCCCGTCGGGCCGCACCCTCGGCCCACGGCATGGCCCGGGCCCGAAATTCATCGGGTCGTGCCATGCTCGGTCCGAGCCAAAAATTACGTGCTTCGTGCCCGCCCGTTTGGCCCAACCCATTTGGCCATCACTAGTTGCATTAAGTAATCACCACGCGTGGTGTCTCACGGCCCACGAACGCCGCGGGACGCGGCGTTTCGTTCCTGTCCAGCTGCATCACGCTCCGCCGCCGTCGTGCCTCGCCACGTGTGCGGCGCCCCGTGCTCACCCCCGCCTGTTGCCGCCTCCGCCGCCGCCTCCCACACTAAATTCTACGGATCGCCGCCGCCCTAAATTCTCCGGCGAGCCAAAACTTAAATTCTCCAACTCACCGCAACGCTAAATTCTCTAATCCTCGCCGGTTTCTATGGTCGTCGGAGAAGGTATTGGACTTTTGAAATACAAATTCACGCGCATTAAGGGATTCTCCGACGAGCTATGCTGCTAAATTCTCCGACAAGTGTGGTGGTCGTTGTCCAAACCGCGCGCGGGGCCGGGGATAGCCCACAAGGGAGGTGAAGAGGCGGGGCACAGGGCTAGGCGGAGCACGGGGAGGAGGAAGCTTCGGTGACGCGCAGGCCCGGGCGGCGCGGGGAGGACGAAGCTGCAATGTCGATGGTGCGCGTCACGCGAGTGAGGAAGAAGACAGCCTCGTAATGGGCTAAATGGCCGGCTCCAGTGGGCCCAAACCGCGCGCGCGGTGTATAAGGTTTGGCCTCCTCCGCTCTGCACGTAACGGTAAATGTGACTCCAGCGAAAGGGCCTGTAGCCTAGCGATTACAAGAGCCTCAGTAGCACCTCAGGTCCTGGGTTCGACTTTCTGTAGGAGCGAATTTTCTAGGATTTAACGGTATCGTGCTTTCAGTGGTAAGCGACGCTCCCGTCGACAGCGAGGCGCCAGTGGTGACTTTGTCAATATCTAACATATGCCGGCACAGTTTTCGAAGATGCTCATAGGGATAGGGTTTGCGTACGTGTGTTCATAGGGGTGAGTGTGCGTGCGTTGTGTGCGTCTGAGTTGTACTTTGTACTAAAAAAATGGGTAAATATGACTCCACACCAATGTTCTAAATAGCCGGCTATAGCCCGCTATAGCCTCTGGGGAGGCGAGGGGCTAAGCTAAGTTCCGTTTAGCGCTAAGCCTCATAGCCCGCTATAGCCACCGCTATAGCCGGCTAAATCCGTTAAATTAAGGTGATTTAGCCGGCTAAATGGTGGTGTGGTGAAGGCACGAAGCTTTTTATGATGTTTAGAACTTAAAAAAATGATTTAGCCATCTATATTAAGGTGTTTAAAACTTTGAATGATGATACAATTAAGGCATGAAGCCATCGTCCTATTTTAGCCCATAAAAATTTCTTGGTGTCATGTTTTATGTTTAATTATTAACTAATTTGTTAATGGTACCTTAAAACCGCCAAATGGGCTTAGCCCGTTATAGCCACCGCTATAGTCTTTTTTAGCCTCTGTGGACATCAACTGTTAAAGGTCTTAACCTGCTATTTAAAACACTGCTCCCCACTGATTTGTGGTCCATAGTGAAGATTTACATGCACCCACGTCCCTCATAAACAGATTGCATCTTTCAGCCGCAGGACTGCGAGACCTGCAAAGACTGCAACGCGTGGCTTGGATGCCACTGGATCCCTCATCTGGAGGGGAAGAAAGGCCCGAGGCCATGAATTCTTCCAAGGCACGTTGAATCCATGCATAATTATCTCATTATCTTTCCTTTACACATTAGGATGCTCATCATTGCATAACGACAAGAAAGTTTTGAGAGGAAAGGACACTACAATCAGGTCACTCTCTTCCCTTATTCTCCCCATTGAACCGATCTTTTAAGGCTGTGTTTACTCGTAACATGATTGTTCTGAAATAAGTGCATTATTAAGTTCTTGCCAAAATTCAGAGGATAAGAGCAAGCCCAATAATCGGCTTGTAGCCGGACAGCTCATCTGACAAACCGACGTGGAGGGAAGAGAAACGGGAAAGATTCTCCGCTCGGCGCAACTGCCGGCGCCGAGCGCAACACGAGCTCCAACGCAGTCTGTGGGATCCGCTGCGCCTATCCCTCTCTCTCTCCGGCTCCGCCTGCTACTCGGTACCTCGACGAAGCCGACGCCCTCCAGCGCCGCGCCGCTCCCGACCTTCTCTCCATGGCCGCCATGGCAGGGCGGAAAGCTCCGGCAGCGCAGCAGATGGCGAAGGCGGTCGAGCTCCCTGAAGTTGTAGTAGCAGATGGCGAACGAAGTCGGAGGACACCAGGACACTGGGCAGAGGCGCAGAGCATGCGGCAGGCCACGGCAGCGCCATCCGCTTACTGGAAGAGCTTCGTGGCACGACAAGGTGCACCGCCACCAGTGGCGCGAGCTCGGCCTGCTCCTTCGCGCACTCCTTCCCGGCATCCGTGCTTGGAGAAGGTGCAGACGCCGTGCTGGAGGTCGAGGCAATGGACGGCGATGAGCTCGCGAGGCCGGTTCGCGGAGCTGTCGCCGCGCCGAGAGGCGAGGGCGAGCTAGGCGTTCGGGCATGACGTTGAGCGTCGAGTGCCTCGGCTGGTTGCGGCCGCCATGAGCGGCGAGCAAGGTGCGGACGGCATGGAGAATTTTTCCTCTGCTGCTGCGGTGGACCCAATGTAAATAAAAAATTAATTTGAGAAGCCTGTTTGGAGTGGAACTTATTGAGCAGCATTGGCGGTACCGCTTGTCTGATTCTGGGTTGGGTTGGCTTCAAGCCAAACTTATTGGCCCTGCTCTAACCAGGGTATCTCGTAACATGATTGTTCAGAGGATAAAATTCAGAGGACACCTACCTCAGAATTAGACTGGTCCGATCGACTGAAAAGGGAAAGGAAATGGTCGGAGCAAGCTCGCTGAAACCGGCAAACAGCCAACCTGAATCTACGATCCGACACGGGCGCCTTTCCCTTTTTCCGTGCCGAAATCTTGTCGACCTGCGAGCCAGATTCACCGGGCGCTACCGAATCGCTTTGCAGGCTGCGATTGCTGCAGCGCCAATAATCACAATCACAGTTCACAGTGCGCCAATAATCCGTCATGGAGTAGTTGACCGAGTCCACGACTGCGCTGCAGCTGCAAGATGTTGGCCAATCCGCGTAAGGGCCATATGAGCAAGCAGCTCATCGGCCGGCCGGAGTAGCTGCCCTGCATACGGCATACCCATGTTGATCCAGCTGGACGAGTTAACTGGCTAGCATCGACGGATCCGAGCTTAAATGCTTCACTGACGCTGGAATGTATGTACGTAATGCAACTGTTCTATATGTATTAAAAGAATTCCTGCATGACCATGGCCATCACTTGCATATTACTACAGTACTAATCAATATAGGTGTCAATATGGGTCCAACTGGCTGAATTGGCTTTTCTTTTTTCTCTCCGAATAGGCTGGATTAATCATGAGGTCTCATCTGTCACAATAACTGTTTGGACATGCCATTACACTGCATTCAGTAGCTGTTTCAAGGAACTGCCACTTATTGAAAGCACTGAACTTGAACACTCCCACAGCTCAGGAGCTGTCATGCTCATGCAACGGCAAGATTAAAAAGGGGGGAAAAGGAACATGGAGAAAAGATGCAAACTAATCAAGCATATCGTCCTGCCGCTGTCTAGTATGGGACTCACCACCTTCTAGCTCTGATGAAAATCTGAATAAACGTCGCTATCGTGCAATAAACTGCATGCCGCCTAGGTTGAGACTGGATAAGCGCCCATGCTCGGTGCTCCTTTTCTGCTAAGCCCAGAGTAGATAATTAGATATGCGCTCCTGGGGCAGCACGTATGCTCCGTGCCATCATCTGTGAACTTTGAATGACTTCGGATTTGCTAAACAGTTTGTCAGATTTGCAAAAAGTTCTCATTTCAGATTAAACTTTAGTGGGTCCTGTTCAGGCCTGATAGCATCCAGTGGGTTTACATTGAGCTTGGCCCATAATGCTACACCAGGCCATAACTTGCCGTGTAACTTGTAGTCTCGTCTACGCAGCGAGTGAGTACATGCCGTCGGAGCAGTCATTTTTTTTTTTTTTTGCGAAGACGTCGGAGCAGTCATTAGCTTAAACTAAAACCTTTTGCATGCTACCTTGACACATATCATTGACACAGTCAGTTTTTATTGTCATTGAGACAACGGTGGCATATGAGTCATTAGAAGTTTTTTAGGTGGCATATAAAGAAATTCTCCTTTTTTTCACTACCTCTATGGGCGTTATCACAGACATATGAACCTGGAAAGACAGTAAGCACGTATTTCATTTAAGAAGAGAGAAAAACGTCGAAAAATAAAGGAAGAAGTCTATTTTACTACCCTCAAGTATCCATATTTTTCACTTAACCCCTTAAACTAATTTTTAGTCTGATTTACTACTCCGAACTATCTAGATTGGTTCAATTCACTCCCTCGTGAATTTTTTCTTTTTCGTTTCTCTTTGTATGGCTTATATTTGAAGCTCAAATTTTGTAGGATGGTAGATAACATCATCCTCTATGCTAGAAATATTCCAGATTTTTTCAGAAATATTTCTTGCATTATTCTATCTTATATGTCGAATTTGTATCGCACACTTTTCAGATACAAAAAATTTGAAAAATAATCGTTAAACATTTTTCTAACATAAGATATGTTTTAACCTATATCTTACAAAAGATTACGCTTAAACATGATGT